TCTATTTAGAAACAACAAAATGCCAGACTCCGCACCATGTATTTTCTATACCTTATCTCTTTCAGCCCTGAACAACTACCTATGAGGATGGTCCCCATTGTGCAGTGGGGAAGCCGAGTCCTTTGCCCAGCTCGCTTAAGCTAGGAAATGATTTAACAGCAGAGAACTTATGGAAATGTCCTCCTGTTCATTTCAATCCCCATGTACCTGGTAAAGCACTTGCAGTTTACCCAATAGGCAGCCACCCATTTTCTTATACAAGTTAATAAATGAATGAATGAATGAATGAATGATGGATGGAGTGAGTCAGATAAGGTGTATGAGTTTCATTCATATCCAGCTGTAACAAGTGACCACAAGCTTGGTGGCTTAAAACAACACAAATGTATTATCTTACAGTTCTGGACATCAAAGTCCAACATGGGCCTCGCTAGGAAAAATCAAGATGTCAACTGTAGGGGAGAATCCATTTCGCTGCCTTATCCAGCCTCTTGAAGCTGCCTACATTCTGAGACTCGTGACCCCTTCCTCCATCTTCAAAGCTGATAAGACCTTGTTATCAGTCTCTGGTGTAAGGTGGGCTGATTAGCAGCCTTAATTCCATCTGCAACCTTATTTCTCCTTTACCATGTCACCTAACAGATTCACAGCCTCTGGGGATTAGGACATGAACATCTTTGCGGGGGGGGGGGGGCATTATTTTGTCTACCACAAAAAGCTTCATTAAAGGTGTGAAATCTATTTTGTCTGTCTCAGTAGAGAAGTAATTCTTTTCTGAGACTGTGGAACATGGTTTGTTTGGTTCCTTGGATATTTAACCATGACACACCACCTGGAGGCATCTCTTTGCTTTTTCCTTGCTTTGTAACCTGCAAACACTCTCCGCACATGCCATGTTCAGTAAGTACCTGTTGAGGAAATGAAAGAATGAAATGAACGAGCTGTTGTTTAAAACTAGATTAATTTGGTCTAAAGGACACTGGAGACATTTTGATCTAAGATGGTAAAATTTGAGCATTAAAAAGAATAATGGCTGTAGTCGATTGAAACCCACCAAATATATACAATTTCATAGTGATTCTACGCAGAGGCATGGGGTCTTCCTAGATTCAGCTCAACATTTGCACTCTTCAGACTCCCATAGGCCACACTTGACCCCTTCTGTGTAACTTGAGGGCAGGAACACAGTGTATGTGTCCACTGTGAGGGCAGCATTAGACAGTCTTCTGTGGGTGCCCTTGCCTCAGGTCACACTGCAACCTATAGCTGTCCAGGAGGTATTTTCTCCCCAAGTCACACAGCTCTAGTGCAAGGAGATTCAGTCTACATCAGGCAGCTATGGGAGCCTTCCTGGCTTAAACGCTTCATACCCCAGAGTTGCCAGCATCTTTTGTAATAACTCGCGGGCATGGCTTCCAGCGTTTCCACAAGGGACATGCCCAGGTCCAAGAATGACCTCACTCGGGGAAGTTCAAAGTGCAGTGTCTGCTTCCCTGTTAGGGATTTATGGTTCATTTACAGGTCCTCCCATCCAGATGTAATGTACCAATCAGGCTTCATTTTTTATGACATTTGATATTCTTGCCCTTCTGAGGTTTTCAGGTAAAAGCCAAAGCTCAGGGTCTCAGGAAGCTGGAAAAAGTTTTATTAACCTTTTGCTCTCATACCTAAACAAGCAAATAAACCAATGAACAAACAAACCCAACTCATTTGTCACCATGGGAGGTTGCTATGGCACCAGCTCTTTAACTAGCAAAGAATCAAACATCTGTCATAATTATAAGCTTTATGTCAGAGTAACTGCATTACTGAGGAGAGAAAGTTCTTTGTGAAGAATTCCAGCTTAAAAAAATACAGAAGAAATGATAGAATTAGAAAGTGTGATTTTTCAACCGCTAGTGATATCATGGATCTAGGTAACAATTACAATGTATACTAAAACCATTAGGTGAAAGGTAGTTAGGGAATTTCATAATATAGGGATCATGCTGGCACCACTTGAACCTATGATCCATCTTAGTATTTACCCATTGTATGATCCTACAGGAAGCACACGGTACCACTTATGGTACATTTTTAAAAAAAACAAATTTAATCTGACCCTAATCAAGACCTTAGATCTAACTAGTAGCTTTGTGGAAATACAAGGGATAGAGGAACAATGACACCCTTTGGAAGCAATTGGCCAAGTCCAGAATGTGGTACATTCTGCAGGATGAATGACCTGGTTTCCCCAACAAATCATGGAAGGGAAAATGGAAGGGCAGAGGGCTTCCCTGGTGGCGCAGTGGTTGAGAGTCCGCCGGCTGATGCAGAGGACATGGGTTCGTGCCCCGGTCTGGGAAGATCCCACGTGCCGTGGAGCGGCTGGGCCCGTGAGCCATGGCCGCTGAGTCTGCGCGTCCGGAGCCTGTGCTCCGCAACGGGAGAGGCCACAGCAGTGAGAGGCCCGCGTACCGCAAAAAAAAAAAAAAAAAAAAAATGGAAAGGCAGAATGATATAGAATAAAGAGGACTTAGTCAACATTGTGGGATTTTGTTTGGTTCTTGAATTAAACTTTCAACTGTAAAAGTTATTTTGGGACACGAGGTAGTTTGAATAATGACTGATATTAATTATTGGAATTATTGTTAACACTTAAATATGATACGGTTAAATGATATTGAATATGATAATGACATCAAGGTTAGGCAAAACTGATATACATAAACACATATATACACAAATATAGACATACATATACACATGTGTATATATATATATATATATACAGTTGACAGTTAATGATGTATACTGAGGAAATTAAAGGTAAAATGAAAAATCTGGGGTTTGCTTTAAAATGCTAAGCAAACTTTTTTTTTTTTTCTTTTTTGCGGTACGCGGGCCTCTCAGTGCTGTGGCCTCTCCCATTGCGGAGCAGAGGCTCCGGACGTGCAGGCTCAGCGGCCATTGCTCACGGGCCCAGCCGCTCCACAGCATGTGGGATCTTCCCGGACCGGGGCACGAACCCGCGTCCCCTGCATAGGCAGGCGGACTCTCAACCACTGTGCCACCAGAGAAGCCCAGCTAAGCAAACTTTGAAGGGAGTAACTAACACAAGATTGGCAAATATTGACAGTTTTCCAAGTTGAGTAATGATTACATTGGGAGTCTGATTATTCTACCTACTTTAAGTGCCTGAAAATTTCCATAATAAAGTTTTCTTTTCAAAATTTTTTAAATTTTTTATTTATTTTATTTATTTATTTTTGGCTGCATTGGGTCTTTTTTGCTGCACACGGGCTTTCTGTAGTTGTGGTGAGTCAGGGCTACTCTTCGTTGCGGTGCGCGGGCTTCTCATTGCAGTGGCTTCTCTTGTTGCGGAGCACAGGCTTCAGTAGTTGTGGCACACGGGCTCAGTAGTTGTGGCTCGCGTGCTCTAGAGCACAGGCTAAGTAGTTGTGGCCTATGGGCTTAGTTGGTCCGCGGCATGTGGGATCTTCCTGCACCAGGGCTTGAACCCATGTCCCCTGCATTGGCAGGCGGATTCTTAACCACTGCGCCACCAGGGAAGCCCCATAATAAAGTTTTCTTAAAACCCTTATATTTTTACAGTCAGATGCCATTTTCTCCTATCAAATTATTAAATATATTTAAACATTTTACAGGGAGGGGTGAAATAAGGATCCTACTGCATTGCTGGGGAACTTCTGGAAAGCAGTTTGGCAGGATGCCCTAACAGGCTGAAAATATTGCTAGCATTTGACCCAGTGATTCCCTTTGTAGAAATCATACTGAAAAAACCATTGTGAATATCAAAAGCTCTTTACAAAGATGTTCACTTCAGGTTATCTTAGACTTTGAATTTTGCAAGTAACCCAAATGTGCACCACTAGAAGAATGGTTAATGGAGTCATGGTACACCACATCGTGAAGTGTTTTGCAACCATCATAAAGGAAACTTTTACAGTTTTTAAATACAACTGGAAGATGCCTGTTACAACATTAATTGAAAACAGGACAAAACTGTACTTGCATCTCTGTAAACAATATACATCCATGGGAAAGATATGTGTAGACAAAAAAAAAACTGGAAGCAAATACAACAAAATACCTCCATTGGTTCTGACTGGGTGATAGACCTACAGTGAATGAGGTCTTTTTCTGTGTTTATTTTCCAGATTTTTCTATCATGGACATAATTTTGTCCTGTGCATCTTGTAATAGTTTTATAAAGGTATAACCAACAAACCATAAAATTCACCCACATTAAGAGTACAGCCTGCTATATATGTGTAAGTATATATAGTTGTACAACCACCATTACAACATTACAATCAAGTTTTAGAACCTGTGACCCTGTGGAGTAGCTCACAAATATTTCTTGAGTAGACTTCCTTTTTAGAGCAGTTTTAGATTTACAGAACAATTGAGAAGATAGTACAGAGAGTACCTAGTTTCCCCTGTTATTAAAATGTTATGTTACTGTGGTACATTTGTTAAAATTAATGACCCAATACTGATACATTATTATTAACTAAAGTCCATACTCATTCACATTTCCCTAGTCTTTACTTAATGTCCTTTTTCTGTTCCAGGATTCCATCCAGGGTATTACATTACATTTACTTGACATATCTATAAATTAATTTTTAATTGGAAAAAAGTAAAATGAACCTAATTTTTCAAATCCTCCAAATATTTAACCATTTTTCTCCTGGTCTCCTTGTTCTTGTTGACTTGTTGCTTGTTGACAAAGACCATGTCTTATATTAATTATATTCCTTGTAGTTTCCAACATGGTACCCTGCAAATTTACTAAGTAATATTCTGCTAATTTAGTCACTGCCCTTCAATAACTGGATGGAGCAGAAGAGAGGGAGAAAAGGAAGAGAAGGAAGGAAAAGGAAAAAAGAAAGACCTTACTTTACAAATGAGTTGAAACCTCAGAGCTCTGAGGGACCTTTGGTTTCTGCTGTGATTTTATGTAATGGAATTCTCTTGACCTTTGTGTTTCCCAGGCTGGAAATTGCAACCCTGAATCGGGCAGACTCAGATCTGGAAGCTTGTCGAACCCAAATCAGCAAAGATATCATTGCTCTTCTACTGAAAAATCTGACCAGCAGTGGCCATCTCTCCCCTCAGGTAGAGAGGAGGATGGGTGCTGTTTTCAAAAAGCAGTTTCTGTTGCTGGAGAAAGAAATTCAAGACGAGTATGATCGGAAGCTGGTGGCCTTGACAGCTGAGTGTGACCTAGAAACAAGAAAGAAGACAGAAAGCCAGTACCAGAGGGAGATGGCAGCAATGGAGGAAGCAGAAGAGGTGGTGAAACGTGTTAGTGAGAGGGTAAGGCAACTTTGAAAGGAAGGCTTTCATTTGCCTCTCTCCTTCATCATTTATCCATCCATACATCCATACATACATCTCTCTGCCCATTCACCCATCCACCCACCCATCCATCCATTCTCTCCACCTACCACCCTTCCATCTATCTGTCCAGGTACTCATCCATCCATCCATTTATTCACTCACCACCCATCCATGCATCCATTCATCCAACCTCCAACCCATCCATCCATCCGCCTACCACCCTTCTATCCACCTGTCCATCTACACTTCCGTCCATCCATCCAGAATTCATTTAGAAAGCATTTACTGATCACTACTGTCTAGGCAGTGAAGGTACAGAGAGCACTGAGACATGGTTCTTGCATTTGAGAAGTTCACAGTCTAATGAAGGATTCTCGCATATAACACATGTGAATTCATTCAGTCATGTTGTAATAGAGGTATGTTCACAGTGCTGTGGGGTGTCATGGGACAAGTAGAATGGCTTCATTCACAGAAAAGCATGTCCACAAGAGCACAGCTCAGGGGGGCTGTGATGTCAGTGCACACGTGTGTCCATCTGGACTGCACCGCGCTAAGTTCTCTCCAGCACGGGCTCTGGAGTCAGACAACCTGGACTCATATTCTAGTACACTCCAGCTCTGCTCCGGAAGGCCTTAACTAGCCTCTGTAAGTCTGTGAGTCAAGGCCGAGGGCGCCCCCCTCTCAGAGCGGCTGTAAGAAGTAATGCAGGAAAGGAGCCCCGGGTGTGGGCTGCGGTAGGCTCTCGTGCACAGTGCCCGGTTTTGGGAGTTCTGACCTCTCGGCCTTCCCAGGGCTGGTCTCTGTTGATCGGAGATCAGCTCTCATTTTCCTAAGAGAGTGTCAGTTTCCGTTTTGAAAGGAATCATGCCAGAGTTTTTTTCCCAGGCGCACCAAATCCAGTCTGATTTCTACCTTCCTCCATGAAAGAGACGGCTGGTTCCCTCTGGTGACTTGAGCCCACATAACCTGTTCTGAAAATTTATCATCCTAGGGAGGTCTAACATCTTAGGAACGAGCTTCTGAACTCCTAACTTCCATTCTTCAGACTGGCAGCTGTGCACAGAAATCCTCTGGGAGTGAGTAGAGAGCTCTCAGGGTGACAGTGCCTGGCTCTCAGATGGTCGGTCACCTGTGGTCAGACTACGGGCTGGGCACTAAAGCAGAGAGGTGAGATTCACGCTGTCTCACCCCCAGCCACTCCCCTGCAGCTGGGGTCCCCTCGCCTCAACACTCATCTCATTTTAGGGTATGGCTTATTTTCTATTTGGCTCCTGTATGGATTTCCTGTAGCTGCTGTAACAAATGACCACAGACTTCGTGGCTTAAAACAACAGAAATTTATTCTTTCACAGTTCTGGAGGCCAGAAGGCCAAAATCAAGGTGTCAGCCAGGCATGGCCCTTCTGAAATCTCTTGGGGAGAATCCTTCCTTGCCTCTGCCAGCTTCTGGTGGCTCCAAGCGTTCCTCAGCTTGTGGCTGCATCCCTCCGATCTTTTTTTTTTTTTCGGTACGCGGGCCTCTCACTGTTGTGGCCTCTCCTGTTGCGGAGCACAGGCTCCTGACGCACAGGCTCAGCGGCCATGGCTCACGGGCCCAGCCGGTCCGTGGCATGTGGGATCTTCCCAGACCGGGGCACAAACCCGTGTCCCCTGCATCGGCAGGTGGACTCTCAACCACTGCGCCACCAGGGAAGCCCCATCCCTCCAATCTTGACCTTGGTCTTCACATGGCCACATGACCCTGTCACCTCCACTTCTGTCTCTTTTAAGGACAATCATCTTTTGATTTAGGACCTAGCTAAATGATCCTGTATTATTATCTGCAAAGACCCTTATTCCGAATAAGGTCATGCTCATAGGTTCTGGGATTACGATGTGGATGTATCTTTTTGGAGAGGGGGCAACGTTCAGCCCACCACTGTTCCCCTGGCTGACCCCGCTCTCTGATCTCCATCCATGATTGCACAGGTTAGCACTGTGTTTCCCTGAGTCCAGCACTTTAAAAGAATGTGTTAGACACACTGTTCACTGATTCAGCCCCAAATAGCCTCATTCTCTCTCTCTCTTATCTCCTCAATTTGTTATATTTTTTTTCTGATAAAAATAATACACATTCAATGAGGGAGGCTTGGAAAGTATTCAGAAGCAGAGGTCGGCAAACTGGGACCCATGAGTCCAATCCTGCCCGGCCTGTTTTTTCTGGCCCTTGAGTTGAGAATGGTTTTCACATTTTTAAAGGATTGTAAAAAGTAAAAACAAAAAAAGAATATATGACAGAACCCTGATGTGTCCTGCAAAGCCTAAAATATTTATCTGGCCTTTACTGAAAGTCTGCCAACTCCAGCTCCAAAGCATAAAAGGAAAAACCCAGAAAAAAATTGAAACGCATTCCACCAGTCAACAGTAGACAAACATGCGTTCAGCCTGTTTGTTGAGTTCCTGCTGTGTGTCCGAGCCTGGAGACACCACCATGCGAAGGGGACCCCACTCCTGTCCTCGGATTTCAGCATAAAGCTTTTGCTTTATTTTTACTTTTTTTTTTCTTTTCTTTTTTTTTTTTTTTACAGAGTATGGTTTATGCGGTTCATTGAACCTTCTATCATGGTTGTTTCCACTTACCATCACAAATGTCATTAAACGCTCTCACGCTTAGCATTCACTGAAGGCCAGGAATTTTTCAGAGCACATCACCTGGACCTTCTCTTCAAATATTCACACCCACTCAGTGAAGTGGGAATTGATAGGCTCCCACGTTTACAGGTGAGGAAACAGATGAGAGAAGGTCACCTGCCTGAGGACACGTGGGTAGACCAAGACTCACACCCAGGCAGCTCGCCCCGACCACCAAGCCTCACGGCCACCCTCACACAACAGTGCATCATAATCCTGGTGGGCGTCTGCCTTTGCAGTGCTTTTCTTACAAAGACTGCCCATGGCAGCGCAGTATTAAGTGTTTGCTCATTATTTACACTGGTTGTTGGGGGCATGGAGAAGGGGCGACACAGAATGTCCTCCTGCTTGCTCTGTGCAGGGCTCAGGGTGGGCAGCACCATCACTATGGATCCCCCAGGCCACCCTGTCCAGAGACAAGTCTCCTTATTTGAGCAAATCCACTTCCAAAAATAGCCTAAAGCTGCAAAAGTTAACAGAGCTATTTCCCTTCCAGTCTGTGCAAGTCATTCCATCTTAGAATGACTTTGTCATCTATTCATTTCTTGTAGTCATCTTTAAATAAAATGCATGAAAATATTTTGGCCATATTATTCCTCCAAGAATTAGCTTTTTGTTTTGTTTTGTTTTTAAAAAAAAGCTAAATGAGGAGTATCAGTTTTTTTGAGTAAAGTTTAGGAACTCCAGTAATTAGTATAGCGATGAAATCTGTTCACATTTAAACATCTATGTGATCCCATACAGTCTGTAAAGCGTTTCTGCGTGGAGAAGCTCTTAAGGGTAGTGGCAAATATAGACTGAAGGCAGGTGGCTTAGGTTTAGATCTCACTTTGCTCCTCCAGAAGGTGCATTGTTCAGGCTCCTTGGGTCTCGGTTTCCCCATCCTTAAACAGGATAATAATGATGCCTGTCATATAGAACTGTCAATACTTGTATAGTACTTAGACCGATGCTCGGCAGTGTCAGCCCTGTTCTATCCAGTTTCATTATTTAGTGTAATCTTTAAAGAAGCCTATGACATAAAACAGTCAGGATGTGAAATCTTTCCAGTTCAAGTTGGAGAAACAGAAGCCCAGAGGGGAAGTGACTTGCCCAGCTTCCTGCAAGCAGCCACTGGCCGTTCAGCGGGTGTACTTTGTAGGGGGACTCTCTTCCAGATCCACGTGCTTCCCACCTACTTGGAGAAGAGGCAGCAGCAGGGCATCCTGCCCTGAGCTGCCGGAGGCTTCCTAACTCCTTTGAGTGTGTCTTAAAGGAAAAGATGCCTTAAGTGCAAGAACTCTTACACTGTAACCATCTCTGGGGGTTTTATTTCTATAAAACATTTTCACAATTTGCCCAGCTGGCTAAATTGAGTACAGGGAGTGTCATTTAGTACAGTCATAATTTCCTGACACGATTTCACATTTTTGATGGCCTAGAGTCAGCACGAAGAGCAGTTGTCAGAACAGCCTGGCACAGGCCTGCGATTCTCGAGCCAGGATTGAAGTGCCCTATCCTGATCCAGGCCTCCCAATCTCTCCATGCAAGTTGCTGTTTTAGGCATTTTAAGCCGAAGGATAAACACGCCTCATTTCTTTGAGAAGTCTATTTTAGTGGAAAGTTCAATAGGGAGTTGGGGGTGAGTGACCATTATTTTAATGTACCTTTAAAAATGCACATTTGTTGCCAATATTTAAAATATAAAATTTTGGATAGAAAATCCAGACTTTCAGCTTCTCTTAAAAAAATGGGAAGATATGGCCACACCAGGTGCATGGTCCTACAGAGCCCCCTTTGGTGGGCTGAGCAGTGGCTGACCCCGTAAGCAGGGCTTGCTCTCTCTACTTTACCCCAGTCCCCAATGGCCCCTAGTATAGTCGTTCCCAGGCTGCCTCACATGACCTCCCCTGCTTGGCAGGCCTCCGTGGTGTCCCCCACTTTAGGGTTTAGTCTTCTCATCTGTGCCACAGAAGGATTGAACTGGAGCAGGGGATGAACACATTTCTGTGGGTCTCTGGACCCCCTTAGGAGTGCAGTGTACATGGAAATGGCGGGGGACTCCCATCAAAAGTTATTTTAAGGAGCATTTCACTATGACACAAACACATCATTTCCTCGTGCCTTATTCTTCAGCAGAAATGCTGTCCTAAGCAAGGACAGATAATTACGTTTTAGGATTTGCACGCGTGCACTCAAGCACGTGTGTATGCGTGTATGTGTGTGCACGCACGTGTGCTGTGTGCTTGCTTTTTGTCCTGGCTGTGAGGAGTTAAATGGATTGCACCCCTGTTTCATTCCTATTAATTAAAATAAATTGAGGTTTGGAGCTTGTCGAATTCCATACTGTCAAAATAGAAGGTCACTTTGATGGATGAATGGACCTACCTGGGCACCAGCTACTCCCCTGGTAGCAGAGCATCCCTGTGATGCCCAGAGCCAGGGGCCCAACACCCTCATTGTGGGTGAGTTGCATTCTCTAATTTAGATCAAGTCAGCTGTGAATAACTGCTTCTCTCCAGAAGAGAAGACCCCTTCAGCTTTGCCACATAATAACCTGACCACTGGAGTGACAGTCCCACTATATTCAAAGTTTATGCCCACACTCAGAGGGAGGGGATTTCTGTGACGTCTTACACCGGGGGCCAGGAATCTTGGGGCCTTCTTAGAATTCTGCCTCTGCACGTGGAATGACTAACACACCCTCCTGCGGCATGAGTCTTTTGTGGTAATGGGAGTGCAGATGCATCAGGAACTTAGTGAAGGCATGTCTACCCCCTGCTGCCCTCCCTCTGGACCACATAAAGTGCAGGCATCCCAGGAGCCACTTCCTACCTCCTCTTTGCCTCCCTTTTAACACAAATGTTATCAGCTTGGGCCTGATTGCTGGTATTTTTCTCTTCATCTAAGTTAAGGATGAAAGATGATGGAAGTAAGCTTGAGAGCCTAACAGCACAGTCCATTGATGTTTCCATTTTGCGGGCTATTTTCAGGCAGTTTGATTTGAAAATTTCCACCCTTGTGAATTTTTTTCTTTGAGGTGGTTCTGGAAAACGTTAAGATAACAGGGAGGACAGGTTACAACAGCATTTCCCAGAGTTTAGCAGCTTCCTCATGGCAAATTTGGGATTCAGTGTGTGTGTATGCCTGTGTGTATACATGTGTGTGTTCCATGTGGGTATGCACACACATGCTTGTGTGTGCATGTGCACATGTGTGCGCTGTATTTGTATTGCTGTGTGTGCCTGTATTTTTGTGCATGTATGCACATTGTTTGTTGCTGTGTGCCTTTATATGCACTGTGCATGTGTATGTGTGCACACGTGTGTTGGTGGTGCATGTCTGTGTGCTGAGCGTATGTGTATGTGCCTGTGCATGCATGTGTGTGCACCTGAATGTGTGTGCGTGTATGTGCATTACTGCTATGTGCATTGATATGCACTGTGCATGTGTGCATGTTGATGGTGCATGTATGTGTCCTCTGTGTACGTGTGTGTGCATGTGCACATGCATGCACGTGTGCCTGTATGTGCATTATTGCTGGGTGCATTTATATGCACTGTGCACATGTGTGTTGGTGCATGCATGTGTGCGCAGGCATGTATGTATGTGTGCGCATGCGTGCACGTGTGCTCGCATGATGCACGCATGTGCCCGTGCATGCCTGACCAGTGTGTCACCTCCCATGTGCCCCCCTCTTCTCCACAGTCCGCTATCGAATGCAGCAGCCTCCTGCGGACCCTCCATGGCCTAGAACAGGACCACCTGAGGAGGTCCCTTGCTCTGCAGCAGGAGGAAGACTTTGCCAAGGCCCACAGGCAGCTGGCCATTTTCCAGAGGAATGAACTGCACAGTATCTTTTTTACCCAGATAAAAAGTGCTATTTTCAAAGGGGAACTGAAGCCAGAGGCAGCAAAAATGCTGCTGCAAGATTACTCTAAAATACAGGTAATGCCTCAAATGAGGCTCTCTCTGATGGAGGAGTCGTTTTCCTGAACTGTTTCAGTAAATTTCTCCTCTTTCTGAGCTAAGTCCTGTCTTTTCTTTTGTGCTGGGTTCCAGTGAACTAACGCTGTCTTCCTTCGACCTCTTGATGCGGCAGCTGAGTTTCCAGTAAGCAGGGCAAATGGGGGCTTGAAGCACAGGCCTTAGACTCAGGCTCACCTGGACTTGCATTCCAGTTCCACTACCCATCAGCTCTGTGAATTTAAGCAAATTGCCTAACTTCTCTGAGACTCAGTTGCCTCACGTGTAAAATGGGGGTAATAGCGTCCCCACACTAAAAGGGGCATGATGGAGATTTCATGATCTAATTCATGGAAAGCCAGTGCTTGGCACAATATATGTTTAATATATGTAGTGGTTAAAAATATAAATATATATGTGCATATACGTGCATGTGTGCACATGTGTGTGGCAGTGTATGCCTAGGGTTTATGATCTCTGTCTCAGTATTCTTGGGTGAACTTGTGGGTGTTTTTGCATGTAAGCTTGAGTGTCAGTGTCATTAACCCAGACTGAATAAATTCGTAGATGACTGTGAAAATAGTTTATGAGACTGTCACTATTTTTATGAGGCCTGCCTGAGGCATTTTACCTGTGCCTGTACACACAGTGCATCACTGGTGTGCAGTAATGCACCAGATTTCTGGTCCTGGCACAGGCCTCGTGAGTGAGAGCTGCAACAGATCAGGGCTGTTCCAGGAGGAGACCAGGTGGCCCTTGTGAGCCTTTTGGAAAGAGAGGACCACTGTCAGAAGGCACTGGGCATCTTGGCATGAAGAGAGCCAGCCAGCCTCTCCGTTTTGCTCTTGGTTTTTCCCAGTAAAACTTTAGGAGAGTAAATAAAGTCCTGGGTAGGTATTCAGACCCCACAGCATCACTTAGGGATTAACAGATTTTGCTGTCGTTTTGCCCGCTCCTCGTGATAAGCTGTGGCTGACTCTTCATGTTGGAAAGAACACATGTTATTGTTAATAATACTGGGGACAAAAAAGTAACAGCCCTGGTGACAGTCCCAAGGCACAGACGGGTTAGTATTTGAGGATCCCGACTCTGAGCTTCCTGACATCAAGGGCTCAGGTCAGCTGACTCACGTGCTCCAGCTCCGTAGAGGATAGAAATGTCACCACAGTGTTCCTGCTGTATTGATTCTGCTGCCAGGAGCACTCAGAGAGCAGCTGGCATTTGGCCACATCCCACCGACCATTCTGCTTTTCACTGTCAGGAGAGTGCAAATCCTCAGGTGTTGGACCTGGAGAGATTATAGCTTTTGTGTGGAAAGGAAAACATTATACGTTTCTTATTGAACAAAATGTTGAACTTTCAGGTAACCCACTGCATGGACAGTATTTCCCCAGATGGAAAAAAGACAGCAGAGCCAGTCAGTGGGATAGTACACTGAGGCTGATGTTTTAATTACCATGGGTTTAATTACTGCTGGTCTAATTATTATGCTACTGGTTGAAGCTGGATTTGGGAGACAGCCTATTATGAAGTTAAAACACAGGCCCTGGAATTAGATGGCTGAGTTCAAATCCCTGCTCAGTCATTTACCAGCTGTGTGATATAGACTCAGTTTCCTCATCTGTGAAATGGGAATAATAGTATCCTGTCCCTAAATTAAGTTACAAAAGATGAGAAATGCTCTGGGTCCAATGCCAAGCCCAGCAAAAATCACCCAGTCTATGCAAGGCTATTATTACTCTCTTGTGCTTGCTGGGGTTCTTATGCATTTTGTACATTATAAGAACTTCTTGCTATTCTGTGACCAGACTCATCTCGTGTCCTCCATGAGTGTGGGAGTTCTGGGGTCAGAGCCGGTGGCTAATTTATCCCAGAACTTCAGCACCTGTCCTGGTGCTGTGTTTGGGGAGCGCCACAGGTGTGACTGTGCGCATGGGTGAAGGATGCCTGAGAGAAATTTATATTCCATTTCTAGGGAAGCAAAGTTGTTTTGATAATTCTTTACCATCTGGGTCTCAAATGCACTTTTCTTATCAGTATGTAATTTTCTTCTGAGCCTTTGTTCGGGGCAGGGACATTTAAGGTGTTAATCCCAGGGCTTCTATTCCCGTGTATTTTCTTCAGAAAGGAAATGTAATATTTTAACTGACTAGAAAGAATTTTCTTTAAATTTTATTTGAGCATACTTTCTTGATTTTTTTTTTTTTTTTAACAGGAGAATGTAGAAAAGTTAATGGACTTTTTCCAGGCTAGTAAGAGATACCATCTCAGTAAAAGATTTGGCCACAGGGAGTATCTGGTCCAGAACATACAGTCATCGGAGACCCGTGTGCAGGGCCTGCTTAGCACTGCTTCTGCTCAGCTGACCCTCCTTATCCAGAAACACGAGAGGTAAAACCCCCAAACCACCCAAAACGATGCAAACAAACAGCCTTGCCCCAACATTCCTCATCAAAGACCATCTACTTCTGTTCATTCAGCGAATGCACTGGCTGCTCCTGACTTATTTCTTAAGAATTCTCTAGTTGGAAGAATCCTTTGCATTACAGAATTTTCAAAACATACCCAATAGTCGAGACAACCGTACAGTGAGCCGACATGTGCCCATCATCAACTTCAGTAGGTACCAGCTTGTGGGCAATCTTGATGTAGCTACACATCCCTGCCCTGAGTTATTTTAAAGCAAATCCCCAACATTTCATAGAGAAATCAATGGTGGAGGCTTTCATGAACTGTGTGATGGCATAGCCCACTCCTCCTTGAGCTCTAGGACACTGCTGGCTCTTGCATTCACCTTTGTTTTTCTTTTTTTTTTGTGGGGGGGGGAGGGAGTTTGTTTTTATTTTTGTAATTTTTTTTTAATTGAAGCATAGTTGACTTGTTAGTTTCAGGTGTACAGCAGTGATTCAGTTATACATACATATATATATCTATTCTTTATCAGATTCTTTTCCCTTACAAGTTACTACAAAATATTCAGTATAGTTCCCTGTGCTCTACAGTAGGTCCTGGTTGCTTATCTATTTTATATATAGTAGTGCGTATCTGCTAATCCCAAATTCCTAATTTATCCCTCCATGCCTTTCCCCTTTGGCAACCATAAGTTTGTTTTCTACGTCTGTGAGTCTGTTTTGTAAATAAGTCCATTTGTATCATATTTTAGCTTCCACATATAAGTGACATCATATGGTATTTGTCTTTCTCTGTCTGACTTACTTCACTTAGTATGATATTCTCTAGGTCCATCCATGTTACTGCAAATGGCATTATTTCGTTCTTTTTTATGGCTGAGTAATATCCCATTACATATATATATATATATATATATATATATATATATATATGCCACATCGTCTTCATTCATTCATCTGTCAATGGACATTTAGTTTGCCTCCATGTCTTGGCCTTTGGAATTAAGTATAAATACGTAGATGCTTATCTTGGACTCTGAGTATTTTTTCTCAGCAGCGCACTGGGGTACCATGCAGCCAGGTAAATGGTGCTGTTCACTGCAGCCTCTAGCCCTCCGACAGCGTTCCTTCTCAGCTAGTCTTTGAGACGCATAACTGTCAACAATGAAATTTATTCTTTGTGGGTTACAAGCTTTAAAATGAGTAGGGCCATGATGTTAAGGTTGGCTTTCTTAGGACAGGCCGTGCTTTTATGAATTGGTTCTACTACCTGGGTAATTGTACTAGGACTTGGCAGCTCTCTTGCCCTCTTTATTTATTTTATATTTTTATTTTATTTTTTTGTGGTACGCGGGCCTCTCACTGTTGTGGCCTCTCCCGTTGCGGAGCACAGGCTCCGGATGCGCAGGCTCGGCGGCCATGGCTCACGGGCTCAGCCTCTCTGCGGCATGTGGGATCTTCCCGGACTGGGGCACGAACCCGTGTCCCCTGCATCGGCAGGCAGACTCTCAACCACTGCGCCACCAGGGAAGCCCTCTCTTGCCCTCTTTAATGAAGATTCAGTAAGGTGCAAGTTATGTGAACACTTCCCACCCAAAGATGCTAATGAATTTGTCATTGCAGTTAACTTGACATTCCTGATTCATTTTCACTCGAGTGAAAGAAATAGCTCCTTGCCTTGAACGGAAGCACCCAACAGCTGGTTATACCATGGGGAACAGTTACCAGGGAAGTGTTTTGTACCTCTGATTTTTAATATTTTAATAGGTTAGCACAGACTTATATTTCTGAAATACATATCTACCATTTGCTCAGTCACCTATTCATTCCTTCAGGAAGCTTCCATGGTGAATCTACTGTATGCCAAGCAGGGGGCCCAGCCCAAAGATGCAGACAGACTGGGAATGGTAGTGGTAATAGTGGCAGCAACAGAAAAACAGAACCAGTAAGATATGTATAAGGAATTGTGTCGTGTGACTGTGGAGGCTGAGAAGACCCAAAGTCTGCCATCTGCAAGCTGGAGGCCCAGGAAAGCCAGTGGTGTAATTCAGTCCAGAGGCCTGAGAACCAGGGGAATCCCAGCCCTAGAGCAGGAGAAGATGAGATGAAATGTCCCAGCTCAACAGTGAGGCAGGAAAAAAAAGTGAATTCCTTACTCCTCCACCTTTTATTCTGTTCAGGCCCTCAGTGGACTGGGTGCCCACCCACATTGGGGAGGGTCATCCGCTTTACTGAGCCCACCCATTCAAATGTTAGTCTCACCTGGAAACCCCTGCACAGACACTCTCAGAAGTGATCTTTAATCTGGGCACTCTGGCCAGTCAAGTTGATAAACGGAGTTAACCCTCACACCGAGTTTTCCCTAC